GACAAAAGATTTGAAAAATTATTTCTTAGAGTTACATGCAATAATAAAAGTGCAGTTAAAGGGAACTTAAGAATAACAAAAGATTAATGCAGATGTCTATTACAAGAAATAACTACAATTTAATATAGGTGATAAGATAGTATTATTTTGTTGTAATATCAAGGCTACTTGCCTAGTAACAAATTAGACTATCATAGGCTTAGATCTTTTTCTATTTATAAATAAGTCAATTTTATTACTTATCAATTATATCTATCAAAGTCTATGAAGATCCATCTCGTATTTCATGTATCTCTTTTTAAGCCATATAAGACAATGAATATCTCAAGAATAAGACAAAAGCCACTTCTTCCTATACAAGTGGATAATAACAAAAAAATTTAAAATAGAAGAAGTTTTAGATTCAAAGCACTATCAAAATAGATTGGAATATCTTGTTTATTAGCATAGATATGATATTAGTGAACATACATAAGAATGAGCAAAAAATCTTACAAATGCAACAAAGAGAGTTTAGGCTTTTCATCAATGACATCTATCAAAATTAAGATAAAGAATAGCAAATTTTTACTATAAAAGAAATAATATCCAAAAAAGGTAATATTCTACCTTCTATTCTTGTTTGTAGATTCTGTATATTTGTAACATTAAAGAGATGGAGAGCCAACAACTAGCAAATTCAACTCTAAAGCTTTCATTTGCTCACTCAGTAGATAAGACATTGCAATTATCACAACCTTCAAGATGACATAACCAAAATGAAGATCTTCAAGAATAAAATGTCATACATTGAATATATGAAAATACAATGTGTTTGGTATGACAACTTTAGAAGAGACTTCCAATGTTTGGTGATTTTATTAGAGGTAAAAAAAATTTAACAGTATTCTAAATGTTTTATTTGAAGGAAGCTACAAAGGCCTCAACAATAATCAAATAACAAGGTGGTCTTTTTGCCATGGTTTGAGATATTATCAACAATTGAAAGGACATATTAACCATCTTCAAAGAGAACAAAGATCAAACATAACTTGTTACATCTTAAATTTTTTTAATATATGAAATCTACTCCTTATAAAACTTCACTCTAAGAAAGGAAATAATGTCATTGACATACATATTTACTCTAATATTTATCTATATGATTAAATAGAAGTAAATAAAATAGACTTATTTCATAATATTTTATAGGAAAAGCTTCTTAGAAGCTTCATGGATGTTGTTTTGACTTTACATGTATTTATAATTAATTAGTAGGTTAAAAAATTGATCAACAAATTAATCACATGTTTTTTGTTTGCGAAACAAGCTAATTATGTGGCGTATATATGAAAAACTTATCTTGCAAGTTAAAATACATATCTTGCAAAGTCAACATATTTTGGAGGTCTTATAGAACAGGGCCATATAGTTCCTAATTAAGAATATATATAGAAGTAAGAGTAAAGTCTTCTTCATACTTGTCAATGTCTTTTTAGTCTATACTCTTATTTTAAGACTTTCTAGTCTTTTTGTCATTAGTAATAGTCATTTTAGTTTAATATGATAATATCTTTGAGTGACTTTTTAGTTTTTTTGAATAACACAAGAGTATATTAAGAATTTCTTTCTTTGAGATTCATGTCTTTGACATCAATCATGATATTTTTTATATCACAGTTGGATTTTATGTAATAATTAAATATATTAATTATGAAAACTCAAATAGGATGTTATATTAATAATATAGAAGTATTATTTTATCAAAATTCTAAAATTACTATATTTATGAGAAATATATAGATATATATATATATATATATATATATATATATATATATATAATATATTTAAAAATAAAATAATTATTTATATTTTAAAATTTAATAGATAGTATTTAAATAGTCATATGATCATTTTTAATTTTTAATTCTTAACAAAGAAATTTAATTATTTTTTATTAAATAAAATAAAATATTATGTTATAATTTTATAAACATATCATTAAATATAAATAAAATAAAATAATAAATATTTAATTTTAGATAGTGATTATTTTATTATATTTTCTAATTGAAATATATACAAATATAATATTTTTAGAAAATTACTAAATCAATCTAAGTATTTTATAAATCAATTAATTTATTATCAAAGATTGGTACATTGATTTTTAAACTTTTTTCTATTATCATAACTATGATTAGGAGTTGATTTGATACAATTAGGATACATAAATGATAATATTACTTTATAATTAATAGATATAATGAATAATAAAAATGCTATACAATGTGAAATAGGACTAGACTTGCTCAAAAAACTAAGATCCTTCTAATCTACAACAACATAAGGCCTTATCACAAAATAGGACAAAATAGAACAGAACAAAACTGAATAGAATTAAACAAAATAAGACATGAAAGACAAAACTAAGCAAATAGAAATAAAACAGAACAAATTTGAATAGAAAAATGTTAAACCAAACTTTACTAAGAGAAAGAGTCTGAAGCTATATTTAACCAGATGTCCCAAAAGGCCCTGGCTAGTCCTATTTATACCTTGTCTTATGACCCTGGACCTTCTAGAATGTTCTTAAGTAGTGGGCTCTATCTAGACAACCACCTTAAATTTTTTTTTTAGAAGGTTTTGTAATGGGCTCTACCTAGATAATCACCCTAAGCCTTTTCTAGAAGGTTCTATGGTGGGCCTCACCTAAGTAACCGCCCTAAATCTTCTCTAGAATGTCCCACAATGGATCCTACTTAGTCTACTAATCTAACCTTAATTCTAGAAACTTATATGGTACTAATTATTTATATAATTATCTTATCTATATCATGTTACATAATGTCAATATATAATATTGCATTCTTTATTGCTATTCCAAACTTTTCTATTTTTCTTCCTATTTGTCTAACTTTGACATAATTATGGACTTGTAATTTTTCAAAGAAGGAAAGAAGAAGGAATGTCTACTTTGAAATGCTTACATGATAAAATAGAATAGCCACTCAACATGCACCATCAACTAAAAGAATCTTTTGATACATCCAAAGATATGAAACAAAATACAAATAGATTTTTCCATATTTAAGAATATGTTGTTAGGAAACATTGCTCTGATGGGTGTAGTACAATCTTCAAATGTAACAAGGATTGTCTTTATAGTAGGCATGACACATATTTAATTTGTTAATGTAATAAAACAATGTAATTGACTAGCTATTTTTTAAAACTCTATGCATAATATTTATAAGTTGATAGACACTAATATTTAATAATTTAAAATAAGGTACATAATCATGGACCTTCAACATTTTTGATAAGCCATTCCATAGCTTGTCAATTTCAACATGCACAAAACGACATTATTATCCAAATGATTGTTATATAATTTTAGATATTTTATTTTATTTTTAAATTTTAAAACTATATTTTAAATTTTAAAATAATATTTAATAAAATTAGAATTTTTCATATTTAAAAGCTCTTTATTTATAATAAAAAGCTTTACAACAAGTAGTATTAATCATATTGAAATTTTAATAATAAATTTAATAAAACCAAATTGGACTAACATTAATTTTTTTAGGTTTTAAAGAATATAATTCTATTCTTCTTACTCTCTATTTTTTTATTCTTTTAATTAATTATTTAATTATTTTCTAATTTTTAATTATAAAAATTATAAACAAAGACCAAAACAAATACATTTAAGGCCAATATTACAAGATATTACTTACCTTAAGATAATATTTTATATTAAAAATAAAATTTAAAATATTTCTCATTTATTTTTATTCAAAAAGCTTAAATGTATTAACTCTAATATCAAATAGTAGACAAATTATTATTGCAATGTAAATTTTAATTTCATATAGTGATATTATTATTGAATTACAATATGTATTCTAATACTACCAAGTTAAACCATCAAATAAATTTTTACAATCTAATAATGACAATAAATATTTTCCAAGAATTTTATAATAGGTACAAGTATATGTATTAGATGTTAACTATAATCATACTAATAATATTTTTTTAGCAAAGGATGTTTTATCCATTTTGATCCTAGGCTTGGCAAAAAAACTGCATTTGTACCCAACTTCAAATATGTCAGTATTTATCTTAGAGATAAGAATCCTCTTCTTTCTCTTCTTCCAAAATTTTGTCTTCTAATTTTTTTTTAATTTTAATTTTTGGGGAACCACAACTTTTGTATTTCAAGTATCCATAAAGATGATTGCAAAATAGCAAGGAATACAAAATAGTGATGGAGTAGGAAGGACGAAGTCAGTTCAGACCGTCAGAAACACTCTCACACCGTCACCACTACCAAAACCCACAGTCTCAACGTGTGAGCAACACAACGAATCAGGCACTGTTTCAACAACAGTTGGAGAAAGTGACATAGAGGGTGTCTCATCACAATCTGAAACATTTCTTTCGATACATCGGTATTGAACTTAGTGTAATAAATCAGGTGTCACTTTGTGCACAGAAACAAGCAACGTTATGGGTTGTTTTCCTGCCGGCGGGGCAAATTTGGATGCAGATGATTCGATACTTCTGCTGTAGCGTTCATCTGGTGAGCCTTGCATAAAAGATTCTCTCTTGCGTCACATTTTGATTCTGCTGTCTTTGTCTGATTGAATCGATTTCTAGCTACAACTCTGTCAAAAGAGAAGAAGTCTCATACTCGGCGAATGAAAAAGGCGATGAATTTTTTTAGGGAGAGCTACACATGTGCTACACTGACGTGGATCTAGTCTCCTGTTGGAATCGTATTGGATGATTGCACATTGAAGCAACTTGTTTTGATGTGGTGAGAGTAGATTTCAGTGGCAGCTGTGTGAAATAGGACGAAGTAAAACCACCTACGAAGGGGAAAAAAATAGAAATAAAAAAAAATAACAGCAAATGCTGCAGCGTAGCCTGAGAATCTGGCTGCAACAGAGCAGGTGCACGTGTTTTTCACCACGTTGGTGAAGAGACGGCGGTATTGGTTTTCGTGGGTGTTACATCGCTGCATGAATGCCCAAATGTTAATTGCTGGGCTCCGTTGGAAGGGACAAACGTCATCTGTGAGCTCTTGAAGAGGCTGCTACATGTTCGATTTCAGGTAGTTCAGTTGTTCGATAATATACAGCGCTGAGATTTGCTGGAGAAAAGTCGTAGCGTCGGGGGATTCGACAGCTTTCTTGGGCTTTGCTACGTTGCAGAAAACTGAACAGTCTTCGTCTGTGCTTCTGTCAATATATTCATGACGTTTTACCTGGCAGCCGGTGCGATGTGCATGCGGAAGCTCATCGATGTTAAGGTTTGCGACCATAGGTAAGATTCTTCATAACAGCAATTCGGTACTGATTAGCGCCTGGATCTCCAACTTTGTTTCTATAATACCGCTCGCAGTGTAATTATGGTTCTATTGCATCCTCGCTTACGATGCTGCCCATGTTTAGTAAATTCTTACCTGTGATTTTCGTGTAACCCTCCAGAGGGATGGTGGTCCTCACCTGTACATGATAACTTTTTCAAATGAAACATCGGAATGAGTGTGCACTTTCCTTTGCGGGTAACAGTCAAGGCTGCATTCTAATCTGCGGCTTTTACTGCTCTTGATCCGTGCGTGATGCCTAGAGTTTAGCGTTTATGCATTTCGTGCATCATCATAATTGAAACGTTCTTCTGGTGAGTCGACGTGGTCATGGGGTTGGCGTACATCACTACACGGCATATCAACCAGGCCGTGATGAGAATTCAGAGGTGAAGGGTTGAGAATGAAACGTGTTGAATTTTGAAGAGAAGACACCCGAAAGGTTTTGTGAGACCTACTGAAAGTGTTGCAGTTCTGAGCCGTGAGGGGATTTGCACCAACAGTTGGAAGAAAATGGTTGCCAACGGGCAGGGGAAGGCTATGGCATTCAGTGGTCTCCGAGGTATTGGAGATGAGTTGCCTCCGGACTATGCCGACCATGACCCGAAGGACACCAGGGCTCAAAGGCGGTGCGGAATTTTGCTCCACCCGTCATCTCTGCCGGGGGAGTTCGGAATTGGAGAGCTTGGAGACGAGGCATTCGCGTTTTTAGACTGGTTGCAGTCGACGGGGTGTACCGTCTGGCAGGTTTTGCCCTTAGGACCGCCTGGAAGAAAAGGCGGTGAAGATGGTTCCCCTTACGCAGGAGCTGACGCCAATTGTGGCAACCCACTGCTTCTTTCGTTGCATGAGCTTGTTAAGGACGGATTACTGGAGATTTCTGACCTACCGGCCCCTTTACCATTCGGCAAAGTTGATTTCGAGGCAGTGGCGAAGATGAAGGACCCATTGATTGCGAAAGCATCTATAAATCTCGTCAACAGCAGTGACCCTTTGCGGGAGGACCTTGACAAATTTAGAACAAACCCCCAAATCTCCACTTGGCTTGAGACTTCCGCACTGTTTGCTGCCATAGACGATGCTATTGGCGCACAATACTGGTGGCAGTGGCCCGAAGAGTTGCGCGACAGGAACACACAGGCTCTTGAATCTGCGCGAGAAAAGTATCACAATTTCATTACACAATTTATCGCAGTGCAGTTCTTGTTTCAGCGGCAATGGCAAGCGGTTCACCAATATGCAAATTCTATTGGTATCCGAATAATTGGAGACATGCCCATCTACGTCGGGGGCCACTCAGCCGACGTTTGGGCTAACAGGCAAATGTTTGAGCTGGATCCCCAGACGGGCGCTCCAGCGATGGTGAGTGGTGTCCCGCCAGACGCATTTTCTGAAACCGGTCAGCTATGGGGTAGTCCTCTCTACAATTGGAAGGAGATGGCGAAAGATCGCTATTCGTGGTGGGTTAAGAGGATGAGGCGCGCATTCGAGCTTTTCGATGAGTTTCGAATCGACCATTTCAGGGGCCTGGGGGGATACTGGGCTGTCGATGCGGCATCCGACACGGCGCTGAACGGGAAATGGCTTCAAGGGCCAGGCGAAGATTTCTTCAATGCCATTCGCGACGCCGTTGGCAAGTTGGACATCATCGCGGAAGATCTTGGTGTTCTAACCCCTGACGTGTTGGCGTTGCGGAAGAAAATTCACGCGCCAGGAATGGCGGTGCTGCAATTTGCATTCGGTGGTGATGCTGACAATTCGCATTTGCCTCATAACCATGACGTGGATCTAGTCATCTACACTGGCACTCACGACAATGATACCGTGGTGGGATGGTGGACGAAGGTGGGGCAAGCCGAGGGGAACCACGTGAGGCAGTATTTCAAAATAGAAAGCGATAAGGACGTGCACTGGGAGCTCATCAAGGGCGCCCTCTCTTCCGTGGGACTCACTGCCATTCTCCCAATGCAGGATCTGTTGGGCTTGGGCTCCGAAGCCAGGATGAACACCCCGGCAACGGTCAGTGGTAACTGGGCATGGCGGGTTGGTGAGGTGGGTTTTTTCTCGGGGCTCAAGGCAGAGACGACGAAGCTGAAGGAGATCTTGAGATTTTACCATCGCTATCCTCGACACTTGATAAAGAAGGAGAAGCTAGCAGAAGCAGCGCAGAGAGAATGAAGCAAACGGCAACGATTCTTTCCCTTGTCGTATTTCCTCTCTCCCCTTAGCCAATCTCACAATCTAGACAGAAGGCCGCTACTCTTTCTTACATGTCGTTGCAATTCGACCTTGTTTTGAGGTTGTTGCAGAATAGGATCTGAACTTTTGCTTCAACTCGGAGCACCAGTCTCATCATGAATCTCATATTTTTTTGTTAGGATTTGATACAAATTACAGGAAAGTTTGTAAATGTCGCAAACTAGGGTATGATTCTAGCAGCAGGTGATGGAATAGTGATCTTCAGCATTCAGCATGCTTTGTTTCTTCCTTCTTCTAAGAGGCAGCTCCGAAGCGAGCTATCTGTTTGTTTTGAATATGATATCCAGATACACGTGAATGTTGGCTCAATGAATGCCGCTTATCAGCAGATTTCTATCTGCAGATGAGCATGCATCCGGATTATGTGCATGCTTATCCGGACGGTGGAGTGTTTTGTGGGACGTTTCTATTGTGAGCGAAGGAACAGCCAAACTGGTGGAATGTACGAAATCAAGAGGTGATCGACAACCGTTCTAATGTTAATAGATCTTGAGCTTGACTTATCATTAGCATGTTTAAACTTATTCTTTAACAGTGACTATAAATGTCTATTTAAAGGTGCTTAAGGACTGAGTGTGCAAAATACATTTGCATTAGGAGGTTTAGTGGATTTCAATCATGGCACTTTTGTAAAACCAAATAATTGGGATTTAGTACAAGATCACTTGAAATATCAAATCCAAAATATCAACTTTCAAATTTTATTATCCTTTTATTCAAACTTTATTATCCATTGATTTAAACTTTATAACCCTTTGATTCGAACTTTATTATTCCTTGATTCGAACTTTTCTACCTCCTAATCCAAACTTTATTATTCTTTGGTGTAGAATCAAAGTGAGAAGAGAGTTGAGGTGAGCAACACTATTTTTATACTTGATTTATTCTTCTTTTGATATTTCAATTTCAAAATCACTCACCTCATGAGGTAATTTGGTAAAGTATCAAACAATATTTTGAAATATCATGGGAAACTTCAAGTAAATATCATAGGTGAAATATCACCCAAAAAGGCATTTGAAATTTCCTATTGAAAGAAATATATAATAATATATGTGTAAATAAAAAAATTAATGTACTTGAATTTATCTAAGAATTTATTTATTTGAAATATTAATCCATACATGCATAAAAATATTTTTTTATATAATATCTAAAAATAAACTATTATAATAATATATTTTTGATTTAATTATTAAAATTCTAAAGTGTATATATATCTAAAGAATTTCTTTAACAATGCCAAATTGCTATGTGCATACATCCATATAAAGACAAAGAATTCAAATATAAATAATTTTATAAGTATATATATAGTATATAAAATATATTAGCGGAGGTATAAATCAATGAGATAAACCAATGAGACAAATTGGCCTTCTAATTGGTTATCCTTATAAGCATGTTCCAAATAAGCTACATATACAATGTATCAGAATAGTATTAAGGACATGAATCTTGAAAAAAGAAATCCTCAATACACTCAATAGAACTAGAAAGTCACTCAAAGATAATATAATACTAAACTAGAATGACTATTGCCAAAAAAAAAAGACTAAAAAGTCTTGAAATAGGACTAAAGACTAAAAAGGTGTTGACAAGAGTGAAGATGGCTTCACTCTTACCTCTATATATACTTTTAATTAGGAGCTATATGGCAATATCATATCGGACCTCCAAAATGTGTTGACTTTGCAAGACAATTATGTTAACTTGTAAAGCAAGCTTTATATATGTATACTACATAGTTAGCTTGTTTGAGAAGCTATCAACATGTGGTTAACTTATTGACCAAGTTTCTAACCTACTAATCAACTACAAATACATAAAAAAGTCAAAGAAATATCTATGAAGCTTCTAAAAAGCTACTCTAGAAAATATATTAAAATAAATGTAGATTTATCTACATCTACTTAATCATATAAGTAAATACAAGGATAAATATGTATGTCCATTACAAATAATTGCTACTGGAAGGGTGGTTCTTTAAAAAAAGTATATAACAATGGAGCTTTTTCTCTTGCTACAACTCCAGCCTTAATTACGCTTGTAATTTGAGCTCTCCATGGCTTCATGACTTGCACTTTATTGTGTTTTAGGTAAGGATTGATTTCCAAACAACAACCATCTCTATGTAAAATACATGATTGGATGATTTAGCACAAATTTTGCTTTCTTATGATTAAACTTTAAGAATAGTTCCTTGAACAAAATTAGTTAAATTTTTGCATATTTTTTGTAATATTAGCAAGAGTTCAACAAATATCTATATATATATATATATATATATATATATTCTTGTGCATGTTTATTTAAATTCATGTAGATTTCATAGATTTACAAATACTTTTATATCTTAGTTTGAACCATATAAAATTTTGAATTTTGTTAATTTCAATATCTTTATTATAGATTCTCAAATCACAAATGACATCAAAATCTTTAATAACATGTCAATACTCAATTTTCTATATAATTTTTTAAATCTATTTATATACATTCAACTTAAAGCAAAACAACCAATTATATATATATATATATATATATATTAAAAAATAGAACATATTAATAATAGAACCTCATTCTTTATTGTTCTTTCAATTCCTATAAAGTAACACTAGTTTGGAATACGTCCCTAATCTTTGAGGATTGCTTTCAGAGTATTGACTAAATATTACTCTACAAAAGTACATAGTCCAACTAGAAGTGCAGATAGATAGATAGATGGATAGATGCCGGCGAGGAGCCTCTCTTCACGAAAGCGTTGCACCCAGCCCACTGGATCCCGAGCAACAAGACTCCGTGTTTCAAAATCCGTGCAGATGGATCCAACACCGCACAACACATCGGTGGCGATCGGAACGAAGTCCCACATTTAAGGATTGCATCCTTGGATCGGAGACTGTCGGCTTCAATTATTTTGGTTGGACAGTGAGTTTTCGACGATAACGGCAGGTGAGCATCTTTTCCTGGTGCACAACTTCACACTTTTTATTTATTTATTTTATTTTCTTCATTCCGATGAGTGGTGATTGACATCAAACAAAAGCATGATATGTTGGCGAAGTTGAAGATCGTAGAACCTGCGTACAGTTTGTTTGCCATTTTCTTGGGGAGCCTGTTGGGGGTCTGCGACTCTTCAACCGCATGCTTTTAAGCATCTGGCGTTTGCATCTCGTGTTGGCAAGCTAACTAGCCTTTTTCCGACATCCCCAGGTACACTCTGCCCGAAGAGGTGGGCCTTTTTGCAGGAAAATCTTCGGTGAACCAGTCACTTTCGGTGTGCATCAGAAGCCTGCAGAGATTCGAACCATTCTCGCTAATTGATCGCTCCGGAAGGTCCGCTTTAAGCCTTTTCCTTACAAACCGGCCTACTTGCAAGATGGGTTCTGTTCTTAGATTCCTATCCGCGTTGCTCTTTCTGAAGTTCTATGAAGGGGGCCGTTCACACTTACAGAGATGCTATCCGGCGTCACAGAGATAAGGTTCGGAGGGCTGCAGCGCTTTTGAAATTGAATGTCAGTTTCGGTGGACACTTCCGATATCGGTTGTGAGCTTCAAGAGGAGAAAGATGCCTCGGGTGAGTAGATCATGAGACAGTTGAGTGCCCTTGATTGTTGAAGCGATCTCAAGACACAGTTGAGTGGTCTCCAAAATTGATGCTTGCAACACAGCCGGAGCCCCATTCCAAGAATAGCAGACATTGTCTTCTGTAAAGGAAGAACCTACTTTAACCAAGTACATCATTTTACAAGAGTTTTTGTTTACTCTTAATAAGAGATTGTAAAGGTTGTGACATAGGCTTCGGCCCATTCGATCATTCTCTACCACTCCCAGCCGTTACATCTATCTGGCTCCAAGCTTGCTGTTCCAGCATTGGGATGCAGAGCTCGCCGAGAATTAATATGGCGAAGTGACTCCGCTGATTTTCGTCCCGTCACGCTGTGTTTGCTATGTTTGTTTACAATCTCAACGTAGAGAGTATATAGTCTGTTTCGTCCCTCACTTCCCATGCTTCTCTATCTTTCGATATTTCTCCTAAGAAGCAGAACACTGTCGTCGTGGTTGAGGACGAAATCCATACAAAACGATTGAATGACAGATCAAGAGAAGGAAACTTGAAATAGAAGCTGCTCCGGAGCTATGACACTTTTTCACCGTAAAATGCAGAACCGAATTCGTAACTGCTACTAACCTAGAAACCCTAGTTTTGTTTGTAAGTCACTTACAACTCCTGGTGCTTGATTCTGTCTTCAACTGTCTTCTCTGTCCCTCGACCAATGCAGCGGAACTTCACCTGCATTTCATAATCGCATCCTCCTCAAGAGATTGCTTTACATGAATCCATTTTCACCCATACCAGGAGAGTCCGAGTGGAGGACGCACGAGCATGGTTGGCCTTTGCCTTGTTAAAGAAACCCTTCCAGCAGTCTTGTTCAGATGCTTGAACTACTTTGCACCAGACAGTGTGTCATCCACTCTCAAAGTCACGACAAAATTTGGTCTCTTCTTTTTTCAGTGGAGCAACGTCAATCAAGCCCAATTCATATTACTAAATACAAAGAATCCAGAATTAAAATCCAGCAAAAAGTGGACGCAGAACTGGAACGAAGCAGTTTTTCGTGATGCCAGGTGTTGAAAACGATCCAAAGCACGGCTGCAACGTAAGACTTGCTTGTAAAGACACCGTGAAGGCACAGAGTGTGGTTTCTGTTGATAGGATGTTTGGTGACTTGGGTTCTGAGCATTGATTTCAGCTGGGGAGAGCAGCTCCATGTGGCGCTTTTCAAAGTAACTATTCACATTGAAATAACAAGAGCCGCTTTCGCCTTGAATATGACAACGGCGTGAATTGCGATGTCAGCAGCGTTGCCTTGCGCCTTGGATCTCGCGCTCACTGCTTGCTCCACTCCCAGGAGCTCTGCTACCATTGCTTCCCTCCGTGTGATTTATTTATAAAGATTTATAAATAAATAAATAATTTGATTGACTGAAACAAAATAGAAGTATATTCTCTATTGAATGAAATATGGCACTATGTTTATAGTGTGCGGAAATTGAAAGGAGATGAATACAGCAATGGAATATGAGGTTTTTGAATTTTATGTTATATTGTAGATACTCTATTGTTTTCTGTATAGTCCCCGATAAAATTAAAAGTTGTTCAATTACATGGCTATAATGGTGTGCAATGGAAATTACACATACTTTGTAAACTTGGGTGTAAATTGGGTTGGGAAACAACAAATTGTGGAGGCTCTTACGCATGTAAGGTGGTATTGAAAATTGAGGTGGTCTTCTTAAGTTGGAGCATTTTAAACTTAAAAGAAGACTAGGTAAAACTTAAATAAACACCTTACATGCAAATATATTTTAAGTTTGTAAGCATGTTTATAAATTAACCATTAAAAGACTTATTTTTAAATATATCTAAAATTTTATTATAGAAAAATTTGCAATATTTTGATGATATTAGTATTATCTTTGTATGACAAAATTAGAGAGAAGGAAAAAAGAGATAAAAAGAAGAAGAATTAATACATATATATATATATATATATATATATATTTTGATGTATACTCCAATTTCATAAAAATACATTTGCAAACTAAAGATTTTGATTAAGTGTTTCAATCTGCAAATCTTAGATATGAAAAGAGATTTTCTTGCTTTATTTGATAATATGATTAATTTAATAGTTTTAAATATAAAAGAAGTATAGAAGTCATATATAACAATTGAATGCTAGTATAGTTGTGATATATTTAGTCGTGAGTTATTAATGTAAGACAATTTACAAATTTGAAAATTTATATTATATTTATACATTTATATTAAAATTTAGATTTAATTCTTAATAAAATTATATATTTTAAAAAAATTAGAGCCTAAAAGATGACTAATGGCTTGATTAGATAGAACTCAAAATATAATATAATAACACTTAGATGTATAAAGAACCAAAAATAAAGACATAATATATATATCTATATATATATATATATTGTCACAAGATAGTACAAAACATTTTCTATATCCAAGATTGGCAACTTGCCATTAATGCAATTTAGACATACATAAGATTAAGCTACTTGTAATATAAAAAATAATGTTTTGTTGTTTTTTTAAAAATAAAATAAAAATAAATAAATTTATATTAAAAGATTTTATAATATTAGCTTATACTATTAAAAAATAAAAAATATTTATTAGGATCATATGGTTGAATAAATTTTCTTTGCAATAGATATAATTTATATATATCAAATAATATTTTTATTATAAATATTTTAGAAAAAATCAACTACAACTATTGAATTGAATATATTATCAAGTAAAATTTCTAAATATTTTATCTATTTTTATACTTTAAAGAATTTTTAATCATGCTTGTTTATTTAAATTACAATTCTTGATGATATTTTACCTTATACTATTTAGATATTTCTAACTAATAGATTAATTATATTCAATACAAAAAATTCTAATATTAATTTTATTATAATTGTATTATATTTATAATTTTAAAATAAAAAATTATTTGGTTTACATCGAAAATTTACTATTTATTTATTAAAATTATATTTATATATATACAAAACACACACGTACATGTATATATATATATATATATATATATATACAAAATACACACACACACACACATATATATATATATATATATATATCTATATATAGATATAATAAAAATTTAAAAATTTAGTACCTTATATTGAGATATAATAATTTGATTGCTTAAGAATCTATAATATGACTTTAAAATATAATTCTTTAATATTAATTTAAACTTTAATATTAGAAAACTTGAATAAAAAGATAATCCTTTAAAATCAATAAATTATGATGAAAACAAGAAGTCTATAAGAATCAAAAGGACAACTACCTATAAAATCTGAATACTACTTACAAAAAATAATATGACTTAAAAATATGATAGAATTTTTTTTGTTTCATTTTATTTTTACTTAATATTTTTTTGAATACATATAAATCTTTATCAAAATACTTTATTAGGTCTTAAATCATTAATTCTTATAAAAATTATTAATATTTTTTATAATATAATTGATTAATAGTTTATATATATATATATATATATATATATATATATATATTTTATATTTTTTATATAGAAATACTAGTAGTCTTTTAAAGATGAAAAAATATGTTTAATTTTTATATGCTTAGAATTTTATCTTAATTTATTATTATTTTTGGTATTATCCAAAATATTTTTAAAATAAAAATAAAATCTTCTATATTATGATAATTTTTTTAATTGATTTTTATCTAATTGTTTTTTTAAAAATAGATACTTATTAAGATATTAAAATAAAATCTTATTATTAGGCATATAGACTTTTTCAACTAATATTTATACCAAAATAACCATAGTTATTTTTTCTAATAGACTTTATCACCAATCTTTCAACTTCAAGTTTAAATGATTCTATATTTGTGTTAATAAATTACTTCCCTAAAATTTCATATTTTGTACCATATACAAAGTTTATCACAAATAAAAAGACAACTATATTTAATCTTAATAATATTTATTTCTATCATAGACATTAAGTGAATATCATATTATGTAAAGAATTTCAATTTGTATCTAGGTTTTGAAGTTTTTTTAAAAGAAATATTAAAAAAATATTTAAAACTATCTTCTGCAATTTATCTTTGAATTAATGGGAAAAAAATATGTGAATTAAATATTGAAGTAATATTTAAGATATACCAATAATTCTTATCAAAATGATTGGACAAATCTTTTGTTATTGGCAAAGTTTGCAAATAATAATAAGTTATATTTTTCTATTCAAAAATCATCTTTCTATATTAATTATAGTTATCATCTATGACTTAATACTTTTGACTTTTTATAAATTAATAATTCTGTAATAAATGATATTTTTTTTTAATTAAAGCTACATTCAACAATAAAGGTATAATATAAATAATCTTTAAAATAATAATAAATCAATGTCAATATTTATTTCAAAAAATTCAACTTTAATTCTATATTGGCAATAAGATATTGTTACTTCGTTATAATATTAAGACTATTTGCTCTTATGAAAAATTAGATTATTATTGACTTTGATCATTTCTTATGTGTAAAAATATTATTCCATGTACATATTAATTACACCTACCATAATCTATAAAGATTTCTTTTGTATTTCATGTATTTTGTTTTAAACCATACAAGATAGTGAATATACTATAAATAAAATATATATTATATCATCATGTTGAAGTGGACAAATATTAAGAATTTGAAATAGAAAAAATCTTAAACTCAAGGCAATGCCATCATAAATTGAAACATCTTGACCTTTAGTACAAATATAATATAAGTGAAAGCACATGAGATCTATCTAAAGTTTTTGAAATTCAATAAAGAAAGTTGATGCTTTTAATTAATAACATTAATCAAAATCAAAATAAAGAATGAAGAAATTCTTTGCTATAAAAAAAAATAAGTTCAATGAAGATTGTATTCTATTTTTTATCTTTATTTGTAGATTCTTTATATTTATGGCTTTAAAAAGATAAAAAATCAAAAACCAAGAGATTTAACTCAAAAATAATCGTTAGATGAATCATTAGAAATAGCATTAAGATTGTCATAGTCTTTAAGATAATATACTAGAAATGAAGATCCTTAAGAAACACATATTTTTCTTCAAAAAAATGACAAGATACAATGTATTTGATATCACAATATTAAAAAAATATTTTTATGCTTGGTATCAAGGACATGAATCTCAAAGAAAGAAAACCCTCAATGCACTCAAGTGTCATTGAAAAGAACTAAAAAGTCACTCAAAAATGATACATTATTGAATTAAAATGGCTATTGCCAAAGACAAGAAGACTAGAAAGTCTTGAAATAAGACTAAGGACTAGGAATGGGTTGACAAGAGTGAAGAAGGCTTCACTCTTGCCTCCATATATACTATTTAACTAAGAGTTACGTAGCGATGTACTATAAGACCTCCAATATGTGTTGACTTTTTCAGCTACATGTCTTATCTTGCAAGGCAAGTTATTTATGTATGCGCCACGTAGTTGGATTGTTCCACAAGCTATTACATGGAGATAACTTGTTGCACAAGCTACCAATATATGGTTAGCTTTTTGGCCAAGTTTCTAACCTACAAACATATCTAAAGTCAAAACCGCGTCTATGAAGCTTTTAGGAAGCTTCTCTAGAAGACTTTATGGAATTATTCTATATTTACCTACTTCTACTTAATCATCTAAGTAACTATTGAGATAAATATATATGTCTGTGTGTCACGGCCATAATCATGTAAGCTAATAATTACATATATTATTAGCATATATTATTGGCAATAGCCATTCCAGTTCCTCTTTCAATATATATACTTGTTTATATATATTTTGTTACCTCTCTTTGAGTGAAGGCTCACTTGTCTGAATTGTTTTTTTATCAAGTTCTTGTCCTTGACAGATTGACAAGAGTATACCTACAATATCAGAGCTTTGTCTAATCTTGATTAAGAGTGGATTACCCTTTTTTCTTGATAAGATATAAGCGTATTAGAAGTTGCGGATTACCCTCTTTTAAACTGATATTGTACTTAGTATTTTCTTTGTCTGCAAATCCTCTCTTCTATTTGTCTTGAGCGATATTAGACATCTTCTCTCTTCTAAGTGTTATCATGGCAGAACTTCTTGAAATGAAGAGTGCAATGGCACAAATGTAAGAGCAATTGAGAGAGTTAATGCTTGCAATGCATCAACTCAATTTACCACCACAAAGAGCAACAAGATTGGCAGGAAGTGAAGATATAGAAATGGTTGGAGCTGCTTCAACATCTGCACCAAACCATGTCCTTTCTCCTATGGTGGAACGCCCTTCAAATGTTAGAGAACCAAGAATTGTCCTACCCGAGAAGTTTGATGGTACCAGATCCAAGTTTCGAGGATTTATCAATCAAGTGCAACTTGTGATTGAACTTCAACCCCAAAGCTATCCAACTCCAGGATCACAAGTTAGATTCATTGGTACGCTTCTTTCAAGTTCAGCACTATCATGGTTTTCATCTTT